AAGAAAGCTCATATACATTTGAGACAAAATGATTAACATTCCATGCTAATACAAACAGTTTTTAATTTATTAAAACAATTTTGATCCACCTAGTACAACTCTAAGCAAAGGTCTTAATAACGTTAAGAAGTCAAACGTTCTGATACGTAAACTAGAAAACTAAATTAAGTGGTCTCATGCTTCAATTACAGGTTCATTCTTTGCATTTCAGTTCACAATTACCCAAGATTAAGCTGTGTACCTGGAAATTAGTTACAATGGAAGAAGAAGAGATCAACCACAACAATGCAACAATAGCAGCAATAAACAATAACACCAGCAGGTTGACAATCAACAACAGCAAACAGGGCCAAGCTCAAGACCAAACCACAGTCACAAAGCCCAAGAAGAAAGAAGCTTAACCAAAACACTGAATCTACTAGAAATTAAACTAGGCAGTCATAGGACACCTTTCAGCACTCAGATAATACCCAGCCCCCTCGAGTAAATCACCAAATATCTTCAAATGCCCTGAACATCCAAGCACAGAACAGGAGCAGAAAGATTTGAACTACTTCTGCTCTTGAGATCAATGGAACAGTGTGAGCTGGTTGTCTAAAGCACTCTCTCAAACTCTTAAGATTTCAAAGTGTAGAAGAATTCCACTTTAAAAGCTCTCAAGAAAACTGATTCTCAAACCCTCTCTATGAGTTCTAGTTCTCAGAAACTGATTCAAGAAAGAAGACCCTCTCTCAAAGACTGAAACCCCAGGACTCTGTTAGCAATGCTCTTCCAATACTCTAAAAAAAAAATCCCCCCATGTTTTTTCCTCTTCCAGCTCTCTGTCCCAAGTCCCTCCACTTATACCCAAACACTGGCCTTACCAGCTCTCAAGAGCACTCAGGCAGAATTTAGAAATTGATTCTGCCCATGATCCTCTTTTAGAACTCCACTAGAGTATGTTTTTTTTCCATTATCCCTTATCTTTTCCTTATTTAAAGTTCAAACAGGTATGGACAACATATTTTAATCAATGCCTTTTAAACATCCCCATACCATTATGTTTTGTTCCCCACTAATACATTAGATTAATGGTTAATTAAGTGTTTTACTGACAACCCACTTAGCAAGACCATTTTGCCAAACCTTTAAACCCCAAATTACCCCTGAAATTACTGTGATTTACTGTCCTAGTCCAATCCCCTTTCAATCTGCACCCAAAACCTATCGGCTATAACTCATTCCCTAATCAAATAACTAAGTTGATTCCTAATTGATCACCAAACTACAACAGGTATAACCAATTTAATTCAAATTCACTTTGCAGTTCGAACTTAAAACTCAGATTAGATCAAATGGTATACAAATGAAGGCCAATGAATCAGGACAAAACATATTTGAACATAACCAGGTTAAAACTTCTAACCATGATTGACACATTACGTGGGAATGATTAACTATATTCACAACTCTAAACTAAACAAAATAAATGAAATACTGTCATATACTGGACGAAAATAAACTGAATTTATATGTAAAATGATGAACAACAAAAAACAAGGAGCCAAACATCACAGAAAATGAGACCATTTGAACTAGTAATACTAGTAACCAATTACAAGACTAGACACAGTTTTTGTACAGGAATATTACGGACACTGACTTTTACAACCAAACTAAAAAACAAACATACTCAAACGATTCAACATATGCCAATCGACCAAGATGAGAAAACTGGACCAGAAAAAGGTCCGAAAGAGGAGGAGGATTAACTGACATAAATGACGAACTAATCAGTCAGAAATAAAACAACAACAAAAAAAAGGCAAACAAAAGAAATACCTCGAAACTTCAAATCAAACCCAATCCGTTTAAGTCTGAACTTTGTCTTGAAACTTTGAAGCCAAAACGGACCTTAATCGAGTGTTCTCGTCTGAAAACACTCGACTAAAGTCGGTTAAGACCTCAAATTTCCCCTTTACTCGGACATGTACCAGGTTTTGGCTCTCTAGGGTTCTTCAATAGATTTAAAATTCGACCAGTTCTAGCAAGATTCGAGCCAGAGTAAGGGTGATTTGGGAATGAGGGAGGTCAGATGGAGCTGGGGTGTGAACTTGAGACTGGTTGGGTAGGTTTAGGGTTTTGCTCGAATCTTCAATTGAAGATTCGAAACAAACCGGGCTGATTCGAGGTTAAAGGGATAGGGATTTGTGTTGAGGGTGGTTAGAAGGTTCAGGGGTGTAAATTTCGTGGTCACCAGCATCGTTGCCGCCGGCTTTCAAGCGAAGAGGTATGAGGGCGGGTAGGGTTTGGTTGGGTCGTTTGGTTCGTCTCTGAAAGAGACGAAAGGGTGAAAATGAGGCGGGTGAAGGGGTTTGGGGTGTTTTGACATATTGAAAACAAGTTGGTTAATCTGGGCCGTTGGATGATGGGAACCAACGGTCCAGATTAATTCACTTAAGACAAACTGGGTCATTTAGTAGTAACGGGGTCGGGGCGGGTACAGGGAATGGGTCAACACGGGTTATGGGAGGGGTGATCTGGACCGTTAGATAAAGTAATATCAATGGTCCAAATTGAAACGCCTGAAACGGCGTCGTTTGGTTGAGGCTGGAGACGAGTCTGGGCTAGTTGGGCCAGTTTCGAATGGGTTTGGACGGTTTTCTCATGGGTTTGGACTGGTTTTGTGTTTGGGCTGGGGATTTTTGGCCCAGATCTTGTTTCCTCTCTTTTATTAATTCTCTCTTTACTTTCTTCCTAAATTATTTTCTAAAATTATAAACCAAGTTAACTTATTAAAAATACTAATTATCGTCTAATAACATTTATCACATATAATTAAATTCCAATTAACAATAAAATCACACAATTCAACATTAAATGCTAAAAAATGCAAAATACATTATTTTTTATGATTTTTCATTTTCGTAAAACAAGTTACTTAATTAATCCTATCTGTAAAAATTAAATCCTAAATGCACATGCAACATATAATTTTTCGTATTTTTTTCATTAATCAAAACAAAATAAACATGCCCATCCAAATACAACAATTAACCAAAAACGCAACGAAAAATTCTCAAAATTGCACAGGTGCTGGTTAGTGTGGTTGTTTAAGACAATTTTTTTGATGTGCTGGTTATGGGCCGTTTTCTCAGCCTTTGGATAATTTATTTTTTGTTGTGCTATTTTTTTGTGGGCTGTTTTCTCAGCCATTAGATAATTCCTATAACTCTCCTGTTTAATGCTTTATATTCTGTTTAGTTCTTAGTTTGTTCCCTTTTTGCTGATGCCAGAAAGGGGGAGAAAAAGTATATATTGTATCTGCACAGGTGCAGTTCGTTGGCAGGAGTCGACTCTAACAATGGACTAGTCAACTGCATGAACTGAGGGGGAGTACCATGGACTAGTCAACTACATACATTAAGGGGGAGTAAAACAGGGAAGTCAACTGGTGTTTACACCTACATATTATTTTGTCATCATCAAAAAGGGGAAGATTGTTAGTCCAGTTTTAATGATGCAAATAATATACCTATGCAGGAAATCAATTACAGAAGGATAAGGAATCAAGAAGATACTACAAGATCGCTGGAGTCAATCTTGATGCTTAAGGAAAGAAATCAATCAGCAAAGATTATAAACCAATCTGCAAATCTAGATGCCTAAGGAAAGAAATCAATCAGCAAAGATTAACGGACAACTGTGAATCAAGCAAGCCTAAACTTAAGGCATGAATCAAGGCCAACATATCCGGAAGATCGAAGATCCTGTAAAGATTGATAAGCGGCTAATTTCGAAAAGACCAACAATCAAGGAGCAAGCCTTCATTATATACAACTGATAAAGGAAGGATATCAAGGAAGAGCAACGACTAGCTATCTTATTCTTGGAAAGAATCAATCTCTTTCCAAGGATCAAATCTCTTGGGTTGTCAAGCCTCGACCTTCACCAAAGTATTTATACCCAGCTTTAAACCTTAGACACATATACTATGATCGAACCAAAAAACCCTCTCTTTGTTCTACTGCAAACAAACATTGTAGTTCACTAAGATCTGCTATGTAACAAGTTAGAGAAAACGGAGAGTATAACACTGGTGAGACATTGTATCAAAAAGAAACGAGTGTTAGAGGAACTATATTATCAAGTCATTTCCACTGTACTCGGAGAAACACATTTACTAAAGAGAACTCTCTTGCAACCCAAGGGGACTGGACTAGGATTCACATTGAATCCGAACCAGTATAAAATTCCGGTGTCTTTAATTCTTGCATTTACTTTCTGCATCTTACTTTCTGTCATTATAATTGTTAGGTTATTACATCTAGTCGACTATTTGATAAACTAGTCAACTAATAACCGATTAAGTTTAAAAATATGCAATCCCCCCTGTACTTTCAGAATACACCTACCATTTTTAAAAATTCCTATTCTAATTCAAATTCATAGGGTAGTATTTACAATCCTTCTTCCCTTAATGAAAAAAAAATCGAACTAGTCAAGAATTGAGTCTAATTGGCGCTAGATGTATCATTTACATCCTAACGAACAATGTACATCCCAAGTACGGTAGTAGTAATAAACTATGCGAGTGATGCAAAATTGACATTATAACGAGTATATGACCTCAACTCTAGTTTTTACCACATTCATCATTAACGGGTAAGTATTTCTTCCTTCTAGAAATTGCACCAACAAAAAGAATAGCGTCGGCAATGATGCTTGGGGCTACTTAAATGATGACACCTTGCTTAATGATGAAACTAACAATTGCTCATCTGGAAATGTCGAAATTTCCCCCGTTTAGAATATATATGCTACTATTACCTCATCAATCATATTCATTCTCTTTATTGTTACTTTTATTTAAATGGCAACAATAAAAAACACAGTTTTTTCTCCACAAGATCCAAGTAAATTATGAGCCATTTTTAGGACATTCAGTTGTAAGATGAATAGTTGAATATGTTAATAATAATATGTGTATGAGTCCATAGTCCGCTCCAATAATGATAGTATGATACCAAGGGTACAACCATGATCATCTAGCTTCCAAGTGAACTATAGATCATACTTCATATAAGATTTTACATTTACATTATAACAAAATCACATAAACTCATATATCACGAAAACAATATATTCTCGCTCTAGGCCTAAGAGAAAATTCAATCAAGACTTAAAGAAGAAAAAAAATGGCACACCAAAGTTACAAACTTTATGCATATTAGCTTGTCATTAGACCATTGGATCGAATAGGACACTTCTGTTTCAGTAATATCCTTAGCTGAGCCTTTTGACACTCCAATTTTGTACCCCAATGTCTGCTCTTAGAACTAATGGCTCGGACAACCTTTGGAAATTCGACAAATCCTTTGATCCCTCGTTTGATATGTGGATTTTCAGGTTCTGGTGATTGGTTTCTTCTATGAATTGTCACTTGGTAATTAAAAGAAGCACTGTTTCCCTGACTTGTACTATTGCAAATGGACTTCTGATCAACTATTTCACACCTTTTCTTTGTTTCTTGATCACATGCAGCTGATGAGATGTTATGGTTCATGTCTTGTTGAATTTTGGCTTCAGTCTTGGCATTAGATGGCAACATTTTTTTAGTTTCTTCCAATTCTAACAACTTCTCTTCTAATAAAAATTTAGCATCATTAAGCTTCATTTGGACTCGTTCCTCTCTCATAACCTCAGCCATTCTTAGCATTTTCCTCTCTTCTTCCGTTTCTTTCCTCAATCGACTGATCTCTGCTCTATCCAACGATATATGATTGGCAAGTTCTTCACAGACTCGCTCCAATGCTTCTCTCCCTTTTCTCTCTTCAGACAACTCTCTTGCAATCTTCTTGTTCATTGATTCCAACTTTCTACGTGCCTTTCGCTCATGTTCTAACTTAGCCTTCAATTCAGCGATTTGGGCTCGAGACATTTCAAGCTCCGAATCCATGAAAGGTCTAATAAAGGTAAGATCCCAAAAAGATGCTGCAATTTTCCTAGCAGATATGGGGAGGTTTAGTCGATGAATTTGCTTATTGTTATGACTTTTGAATAGAGTGTGGTTGGTTTCTTCTTGATGTGGAATTGTGGGGTTGTGACGTTGCTTTTGTGAATTATAGAAAGGGTTCTCGTACAGTTTCCAGGTTGGACATATAGAAGTAGGGATAATGTGATCATCTGAGATACCAAAGGACTTATTTCTGGGATTTTCTTGGTTTCTGATCATCATCATCTTCTCTTCCAATTGGGACTGTATTTTAGCCTTTTAGTAGAAGGTGGGGAGTTTCTTGCTTTTCTATATCACCTTTGCTGCTGTGCACTCCTTGCTTTTTCTAATCCATTTGAGCTAACTTTCTTGCTTTTGCTTTATTACAACCTTTTAATATAATAGGAGTAGGGTCATGATGTTCTATCTTATTGCCCTTTCAGCTGCTAAAAATTGTAAAAAGTGGAAAAAGATGTTCAGCCTCACATGTACCTCTGCTATTTAATGTCACTTATAGAGGTGCCCACTTTCTCACTTAGTCCTCCCCCCCCCACCAACAACCCCNTATTTTCTTGATCATATTGTAAATTGAAATGATTTTAATATTTTCATACATAGCTTGTGACATGGAATTTGGTGGTAGCAAATTGTTATGTCTCTTAATTAGAAATGGAGTAAAAGAGACTGCATATTCCAAGAACCATAGGATGCTTCGCTTTGACGATACTATTAAAGCAATGATTTACGTGATTTGCAATCATGTTTCATTATTTAAGAATCTTTCATTCAAATCTGCCTCAACTGTAATTGCATTAGTATTACAAAACAGAACACTCTTATTATTATAAAAAGCTATAATATCATACTTCTGGTCCTGAGGTAGACGCACATAAATAGTTACTTTTTGTGTGATCGTGGGCAAAGTAATGAATTTCTCTAGGGGTGTTCAAACTTGAAAGAAATAAAAAAGAATTCCAATAAATGATGTTCAATGTATGTTATATATCTTTATACGTCAGTGTAATTTTTCAACGACGTGTCAATTGACCATCCTTTAAGACATGTAGCTTCGCTCTTGCGTGCGAGATGAATAAAGAGAGCAGTTTTATCTTGATCAAATGGCATGTAGGATAATTTTGTCTATTACAACTCAGGATGCTCTGTCCTATGGAGCTTTTAGCGAGAAAAGGGTAAAGTCATATGATTATAGTGATAAGAGGATTGAGGGAGGGGTCCAAATAGTTGTCTAATGATTGTACAAATTTTCCACATGGATGGTCTCCCTTTGTGTTTCTTCTGTGTCGTCTTCCTTCATTAGCGTGATTTAACACTTGGTTCAATCACCAATACTTAGGCAATAAACTTGTTAGCATGTGCAGGGCCGTGGTGATGTATTTTGCAAGAATACTTGTCCAGAACACAGCAACTTTATGGAGGGGCAATAGAAGCAGTTTGTGTTTGACTAATTAATTTGAAAAATACTTCTGAGCAGCAATTAATGTTTGACCAAACTTTTAAAAGTGCTTCTAAGTGTATTTTTCTCAGAAGTGGTTCTCAAAAAAGTTCTTTTGAAAAGAAGTTACTTTTTTCTGCTTATCCAAAATTGATTTTGCTTCTACTCAAAAACACTTTTGTTTTTCTTATAAAAACTTGGCCAAACATTTCAACTTTAAAAAAAATAAAATACTTTTAACTTTAGATAAGCCTAGCGAAACATGCGATTAATCGGAAAGAGACACTCATGATACAATGCACTTGGAGTTAGATTTGGACCGATAAAACTTAGCCGCATATCAAAAGAGAGTAGCAATAAGTGGCGCTAATTAGATTGAAGAAAAAAAATGATTGTTGCATAGTACAAATTCTTCTATTCTACTAAAGTTTTATACATAAAAATGTACCTAGAAATGATATCTATGGTGAAGTTGTTATCGGGGAAATGTAACTCAATTGATGTGTTTTTCGTTATCTTTTTAACTTGATATGATGATGACAGAATGAACCGGAGAAAAATGGAGAAATCAAGAACAAGCTTATAAATAAGAAAGAGGAATAGCCCCTTAAAATGCCACACTCACTAAAGGTCTACAGTAGGGGACTAGGAATATGTTCCATAAACAAGTTCAATGTCCATTAGGGCCAGAGAGGATGTCAATAGCCCCAGCATTACTGGCTTGAAGTCAATAGTCATTCTATACATAAGCACGAGGGAGAAATTCAAAAATAGCCAGATTTACAACGGGTCGTTCAAATATAGCCCAGTTTCAAAAATAATCGAAATTTAGCTACTTTTCATGTAAAGATAAATCTGAGCGAAAACACTGTTCAAAATCCGGAAAATACGCAAGTATATTATACTGGAGTTCCAGCATAAGTATGTTTGAACTCTAGCATAAGTACACTAAAACTCCAGCATAATATACTGGAGTTCCAGCAAGTATAATTGTCCAGTATAATATACTGGAGTTTGGAGCATCGGTGCTCTAGTCTCCAGGATATTATACTGGAGTCAGCAAAGTATACCGGTCCAGCATAATATGCTGGAGTTCATACACAGATGCACCGAACTCCAATATATTATGCTGGATCGATCTCTGTTGCAGCAAAATAGTGGCTACTTTTCATTAACTTCGTAAATGCTAGCTATTTTTGAATGACCAGTCCAAAAACTGGTTATACCATGATATTACCCCTAAGCAGGATATCCACAACCACAAGATCAGAGGCCGATGGAGCATAGCTTTTATACGTCCAAGTAAATTTGTTAAATGGGTCGACCCGATGCGATCTGGATCGTTAACACTTAACCCGTGTGTCTTTAACCGGACTGGTCCGATTCATTTTCTTATAGGGGATCTGAGTTTGACCCATTAATGAGATAATTTTACATAAATACAACTCACACACGTGACTTGCAATATAATAGCCTAGATATCACTTTGCAAATCTATAGCCCAATATCTAATATTTTAAATTGTGTTATACAATTAAGTGCAAATCCTTGAAAAATAAAACTTAGTAGGATAAAAGAGATCAAATCAACGAAAAGCTTACTTTTACTAATTTTTCAAATTTGACTTCTAATTTTTGAATATAAACGTAAATTCTATTTCTTACAAATTGAATTACTTCAAATTTAAAATACTTAAGAACAAAATGAAGCAAACACAGGATCTCATGATTAACAAATGATAAAAATTTAATACTTTATACATATACGAACTGGAAAGTAATATATGAACTCTTGAAATTTATTAGAATAAAAATGAAAGAAAAATTATACTTTATTAACATTAAAATTTGAGTAGCATACGGAATTAGAGAATGGGAAATGGGGGTTGAAGGAATTTAGTTTCTTCTTTTTTTAAATAGGTGTACTTACATAGAAAATTAATGGCTTATCGGGTCGGTCTGGGCCGATTGAACCGCAAGTCAACTATCGGTTATGGTCGTTTCGGTTCAATGAGTTAAAATATTACAGCCCGGCCCAAACCCCCTAGATTAATTGGTTGGTCCAGTTAGGGGTTAGCGGGTCGTAGGCCAGTTGAGGGGTCCATTTTGATGGGTTATTTGGGCCTGCTCATGGGTTGACCCGGCCCATTTGATAGGTCTAGGTCCAAGTGCGTCCAGTATTTTTTTTACATATAATATAAGTATACATGTAAAAATTCACTAAAATAATAACCTTTGAATCAATTGTTTCAAAAGTACAATGAGTTGATACTAAAATACCTCAAATCACCAACCATTATCCATTGAGTTAAAAATGGTGATACTCCATTAGTGTTGAAAACTGTTGGTGCTAGAGTTTACAGTTAAACTAATTTAAATGAACACTTAGGTTCAACCAATGTGGAGTTATGAATTTGGCATCATAAAGGGACAAAACCTAACTTGAGCAAGGAATACCGTTATGAGGCTTGTACATATGACACACAAAGAGTTAGAAAGCCAAACTTAATAATAAGATATCAATTTAGCAGTCATCCGAAAATTCATTTCAAGCATTTTAAGGGTCAAGAATCCCTCTGGAAATCTCATGTTTACATGCTGAATGCATAAAAGTAAAAATAAGAACATAAAATCCGAATATCTAGTGTAACTTTCTTGTCACAATTATCTTGAGCGGCCATAGGACCATATGGATTTCCCGATCCACTTCCTCTGCTACAAGACCAAAGGCTGAACTCCAGTCAACCAAATATGTTATCCAATATACTGCTTAGATAGATTCTGCAGATAAGAAAGCAAGAGCTCCAACTAGTGGTGCATTAATATATGTAGCAGGCTCTGATTGCTCATAATTATTCCTGTCGTCTTCGAAGTTATCTTTACTGTCAGGACCACCTACGATGGCTCCGACAAGAATGTTTGGATTAGGCGAGCCCGAGTTCAAAGACTGGAATCCGTCGTTGCAGCCAATGTGACCAGGATGTGTATGCACTGAAGGTAGAGATGAACCTCTATGGTGCACACGTAGCGGATACCTCTGTCCGAAACCAACCATGTACGATATTCTTGCTGGATTATCTCCTAATATGTAGTCTACTTGTTTTTTTGCGAGTTCAACTAGCTTCTCTGCCGGATATCTTGAAGCTCCACATGAGACAGCTCCTCCATTTGTCTTCAAGTATTTGGCATAGGTTAATAGGAGAAATGATGATGATGTTACGTATTGGAGATTGCTTGCACTTCCTTTAAATAGAAGCCCCCCTGCAGACATTTCTCTCGGACGTTAGTACCCAAAATTTAAGTTAGAGGTAAGATTTACGTACACACTACCCTCATAAGATAGGCGTATGGTCTGCATATACAGTACCCTCCCCAAACCCCCACTTGTAGGATTTCAATGGGTTTGTTGTTGTTATTAGTACCCGAAACTTAAGTAATGTTGATAATTGCTGGCTCTCTACGTGTCCTAAAAAATCATGCCAAAAAGGTGAAGGAAAATGCAACTACTGACCTGGGGTATACTGAGCTTGAAAGCTAGGTGAACCTGGAATTAAAGAGCAGATATAGTTGTCTGAGTGAACTTTGTATGCTTGGAATTCTTGAGTACTCTTTTCCAAGAAGTCCTGTTAAAATTAGCAGGGGAGGGGAAAATGAGTGAGTTTAATTATGGCTGAAAAGTTTAAAGTTGGACTGAGGCTAAAAGAAAATAATTAAAAGAACCTTTGAGAGGACAATTTTGGTTCCAGGTCTCTTGTCATCCCAACTGAAGGAATAATCATCTTCAGTAGCTCCCAAAGTTTGGCCATTTGATTGAATATAAGCAAGATAGGAAGCATCTTGTGAAGCTCTATGAAGCCATGATGCTCCCCACAAAAGTTCATCCTGAATATTTCATAATGTATTTATGGTCAAACATCAATAAGAGTTACATTATGAAATTAATAGGTACGGTATTTACTATACTGCTTATTATCAGTTTCAGTATTCTTATTCTGACATGTAACTACTTACATAAATTATTTGTTGC